GTAAAGTGGGGATAATAATAGCATAGCATTTATCTCTCAAGATTCTTGTGAGGATAAAATGAAATAATATTCATAGAACATTTAAAAAATCTTAAATGCTATATAAATAATAATGGTGATGATGGAGGTGGTGGTGGTGATGGTGATGGTGATGATGATGATGACGATGATGATGGTGATGATAAAAATGATGATGTGCTGGGGAGAAATCTTTTATTGCTTTGTTGAATTTTTTTAACCTCTGAAAGAGGCTTCCATGGACCTTTGCCATTGAATAAATCACAGATCTGAGCATGCAAATATGCATGTGATTCAAATTGCCAGAAGACTCCCCTTCTCTCCAACTCTTACTTAGGTAGTATCTGCTTAGCAGACAAAACATAGACTAGTATTAGAGTTCATAGTTGGGCTGAAAGCATCCACTTCTGCTTTTGGATATTTCATAGAATCAAAATCTGTTAATATTGTTTGAAGTTTTAAAAATATTGAAGATGTTGAACTTGTAATGCCTCAAACACATTGCATGTTTCACTTTTGTCTTCACATTTCCAGCACCCCAATGCAGTTCCTGACAGATAGTAAGCACTTAATAAATGCGTGTTGACTGATTGAATTAAATATATGTAAAAAGTGAGTAGTTCTACCCCTTGACTCAGAGATTGCACTGCCAAGCAGATCTCCCAAGGAGATCGAAGACTTCAAGAAATATCCTCTAGACACAAAATATCAAGAGCAGCACACGTTTAGTGGTAAAGAATTATTGACAAAGTAAATGCCATTGATTGGGGAAATGGCTAAACAACTTGTGATACATGAATATGATGGTAGAAAATAACAAATATGATGCAGTAGAAAGACATGAACCAGTTCAAGGTACAGTAAATAGAGCCAGGAAAATGATATCCACCTTGACTACAGCAATGCAAGTGAAAAAAGCTGAAATGGAATGCTGTATGTATAATAACAATTATCAAGGTTGGCCCAGGAGAAAAGATAAGAAAATGCACATCCCTCCCTCTTTTGAAGACATAGAGGATTATGGGTATGAAGTATTGCATGTGCTGTCAGATTTGGTCCATGTGTGGGTTCGTTTTGCTAAAATATTTTTCTTCTCTTTTTATTTTTTTCTTGTAAGTGATGGATTTGTTATAAGGGATTTATTATAAGGGAGAGGGATACATTTGGACATGAAAATGTCTAAATATCAATAAAATGGAAAGGGTTTTTTTGAGTGAATTATTCACCAAAGAAAAAAATATTTAAGTTCTTTCTTCCTTTGCTACAGCATGGCCTTTCCCTGAGCATATGGGATGTTTGTGTATTGATTTAGCTTAAAACCAAATTGAATGCACAGTTAATTTCCTTGTGGTTCTCGACATTTCCCATGGGAGGTATTGTAAGTATCTTAAACTCAGCATGTCCAAATAGAACTCATTACCTTCCTCCCCTTCCTTCCCCAAACCCTCTGCTCTTTTGAACTTCTCTGTGTCTGTCAAGGGTTTTATCATATCCTTCTAGTTACCCAGGGTCATCCTTGATTCCTCACACTCATTTACCTCCATATCTAATCTGTTGTCAAATCTCGTGGTTTCTACCTTCACGTCTCTCATACACATTCTTTTGTCTCCATTCACACAGACACAGACTCTCATCTCCTCTCCCTGAATTATTGCAATAGCCTCCTAACTGGTCTCCCTGACTCAGGTCTCTCCCCATGCTAATCCATCCTACACACATTTAGACTGTGTGTTCAAATACTTGAACACAAATCTCATGTCTCGCCCTCCCTAAGTCTTCTCTTCTCCAAGCTCAAGCCAAGGTCAGTAAGTGAGTCAACAGTCAAAGGTCAAGAAGCATTTATTTATTTTTTTTTGTTCCAGTTTTCCCACATCTTCTCCAGCATTTATCATTTTCCTATTTTGTCATGTTAGCCAATCTGATAGCCACAATGTGGTACCTCAGAGTTGTTTTGATTTGCATTTCTCTAATCAATAGCAATTTAGAGCATTTTTTCATATGACTATAGATAGCTTTAATTTCTTCATCTGAAAACTGCCTGTTCATATCCTTTGACCATTTATCAATTGGGAATGGCTTGTGTTCTTATAAATTTTACTCCATTCTTTATATGTTTTAGAAATGAGGGGAAGCTAGGTGGCGAAGTGGATAGAGCACCGGCCCTGAAGTCAGGAGGACCTGAGTTCAAATTTGACCTCAGACCAAACACTTGACACTTAACTAGCTGTGTGACCCGGGGCAAGTCACATAACCCCAATTGCCTAAAAAAAAAAAGAGGCCTTTATCAGAGACACTGGTTGTAAATTTTTTTTCCCCCAGTTTTCTGCTCCCCTTCTAATCTTGGTTGCATTGGCTTTGTTTGTTCAAATCAAGAAGCATTTATTAAGCATTTAATACATGCCAAGCACTGAGAATACCAAGAAAGGCAAAAAAGTGGACCTGCCTTCCCTCAAAAACTCACATTCTAATGGGGGAGATAGCATGCAAATAATTATATACCTATATGATAGATATAGCTTAAGTGGAAGGCAATCTCAGAGGGAAGGAGCTTACAGGGAATTGGAGGAGACTGGGAAAAACTTACTGCAAAAAGTGAGATTTGAGCTGAATCATGATAGAGTTTTGTTCAGCTAATTCCCATATGGCAAGACCTCTAGTCATCTGGCCATCTGGACTGCCTCCTTTGGTCTATACCACCTTTTCATCATCCTTCCTAAAATGCAGTTCTCAGAACTGAACACAATATTCTGAACATATCATGACTGGGGCAGAGGGCAGTGGGGTTGTCACCTCCCTCCTTCCTTTATACAGTGCATGAGTTTTGGACTGCCATGTGGTACTGTTCATCTGTGCGAACAGTGTATTTCCAAGGGGTGGAACTGATCAGAGAAGACCCTATGGAGGAGGTGAAAATTGAGCCCTGCCTTTCAGAAGGTCTAGGACTTGGGTAGGCAGAAATAGCATCAAGATCTGTGGAGGATAAGGATGAAATAATAAAAACTAAATCAACATTTCTATAGTGTACACCATCTTTTCAATATCCCCATGAAGTAGATGGCACCATTATTCCTTTCCCTGTTTATAGATGGGGGAACTGGGGTTCAGACAAAGGAAGCAGAATCTAAGATGGCATAACAAATGGAGTGCTGGACTTGCAGTCAGGAAGAGCCGAGTTCAAATCCTGCTCAGACATTCACTAACTATGACCCTGGGCAAAACACTTAACCTTTTTCAACCTGTTTGCTCTCTGCAAAATGGGGATAATAATAGCCCCTATCTTAGAGGGTTGTTGTGAGGATCAAAAGAGATGATATATGTAGAACATTTTGAAAATCTTAAAATGCCGTATAAATGATGTGTGAGTTCTGGTGATGGTCATGAAGCTAGTCCAGGTGAGAGTTAGGATTTGAACCCAAGTTTCCTGAGAGAGTTTGGAGCTCCTTTCAAATGTGAATTGGCTCTATAGCATCACTCATTAGACAGCTACAAACATTGTTGATCCAGAGCTCATCCCTAAGGGATTCCAAGGAAGGGTCTCACATTTCCTTTCTCATGTTTGCATGTATCTTATTGTTAAGGTCTCATATCTCTACCCATTTGATTACAGGTTCCAAAGAATGAGGCTGAATTAATGATTAATGAATGCATCTTGTAGCTTGGCTGTTAGATTTGCAAGAAATTTCAGTCCATAGTGGTTAATGTCAATGAGCATTATAATAATTATAGCCACATCTTATAAAGCCTGAGGCCATTAGTTATAACTGCCATCTTTCTCTGGCAATGCAGATAATGATAGGCTATATTATAATCATGTGGGCCCATGGGATGGCATGCTGAACAGAGAACTTAAAAACAGGTAGATTGATTAACTCCAACCACTGTTAATCTCCCCACCTATAATTTATTGTTATCATTATTTTTATTATTAGACACAGACTAAAGACCCTTTACTAGTATGGCTGCCATCCTCTGGACACTTTCCAACTTAATGAATGTCTTCCTTAAAATATGGTGCCCAGAACTAAACCCAGCACTCCAGATGCTACCTGACCAGAGCAGTGGGCATTGAGGCTATTCCTTCCCTGATTTTTGGACATACAATGCTTCTATTTATGTAACCTAGTATTTCCTTGATCAGGAAAGGAGTTGAGCCAAGTTGCAGAGTGAAAAGTTGTAGAAACCAATGAAGCCATGAAAGACCCAGAAGCAGGCCCCTAGATGTGGGGTGCATCCTTTCTTAAGAATCATAGGTGTAGACTTCAGAGGCTGTCATTTTACAAATAGGGAAACTAAGGCCTGGGTAAGGTAAATGACTTGCCCAGGGTCACACTGATAGCATTGGATGCAAGATTTAAACCCAGGTTCTTTGACTCCAGACTGAGTGTTTATTCTACTGTAACATGCAGACAGTAATAATATGCAGAAGGCAGCTAGCTGGTTCAATGGATAAAATGCTGGGACTAGGGTTAGACCTAAGTTCAAGTCTTGCCTCAGACACTTAGTAACCGGATGACTCTGGGCAAGTCAGCCTCTGTTTACTTCGATTTCCTTGTCTGTTAAATGGGCATAACAGCATTTATCTCTTCAGTTGTTGTGAGGATCAAATGAGTTAGTGTTTGTAAAGCGCTTATCACAGTGCCCAACACATTGTAGATTCTTTACAAATGCTAGATGTTGTTGTGCAGGCTGCCACCTGTACTGGTGGAGGAGTACCCACATCACAGAGGACACACTTCTATGACCTTTTCTGATGTAGCCTCAGTCTCCACCTTCCTCCCAGAGTCTCTGGGGGGTGGGGGTGGGAAGGATCCGGGGAGGCAGAGCTTCCTCTTTCCCCTTGGGGCCCTGCTCTGGGACTCCAGCTCCCCTCCATCTGCTCTCCCTCTCCCCCGGGGTCACCATCTCCTCCTGCTCAATCCTCTCCAGGTGTGTGGCCCCTAGCCATTGGCTGCAGCCCCGCAGTCACCCCGGGGTCTAGGCGAATGAGAAACAGCCACCTGTGGGGCACACTTAAAGCTGGGGTTGTGGGAAAGCCCCAGCCCCTCGCCCCACCAGCGTGCTCAGTGGAAGTCGAGGTCAGAAACGGAGAAAGCCACGGGCAGAGGGGCTACCTGGAGAGACCAGGGCGAACCAGGGGCAGCCGGGCTGGGGATGAGGTGGCTGCCGGCGCTGGCGGCCATGGCCGTGCTCCTGGCCACCTCAGCAGGCGGCCAGAGCGGGGAGGGCCCGAGCCCCAGGGCTACAGACAACCAGAAAGCCACGGACAGCACCACGGACAGAGACAAGACCAGCACCACAGACAGCACCACCACCGACAGCACCGCCGACAGCCGCACCGACAACACCGCCACGAGCAGCGTGACTACAGAGCGCACGAGTTCGGGCAGAGAGAGCGCAGTGGGCAATGCCACAGCCAGGACGATGCGAGAGCCACGGCCAAGGCCCCGCACGCAGAGAACGTGAGTGCTTCGGCCACGACCGCAGCCACGGCCAGTGCCGGGGGCAGGGACGGTGGCGGTGGCGGTGGCCCAGACAGCTCTCCAGGGCAGGCGCGACACGAGTGGAGGAGGAGCGTCTACTTCCGAGAGGAATTCGAAGACGGCGGTGAGCTGCCAGAGACAGCGGCCCGGTGGGTGGGTGGGTGGTACTGTGGATAATGTGAACCTCATTCAGCCCAAGGCTGGGGGAGGGGGAACGGTGCGGAGGGACCCCAGGCGAGTCATTCAGCTTTCTCCTTCCCACAAATAAGCTGAACAGGTCCCAGCTCCTACCTAAAGTGTGCAGTTATGGGCAAATCAGGGCACCTCTGGGCTTTAGGATAATTCTTTGTTGGCAATATGCCCCAGCCTCTTCAATATCTCCATGGGCTTCTTCGTTGACCTTTAGGTGACCTATGGCTGGAATTCTTCCAAAGAGCATCACTGGAAAGTGGGAAACACACACAGTCAAATAAATCCCAGGAGAGAACAAGGTGATATAGAAAGAGTATGGGTCTAGGAGCAAGGGAAGTCCTGCATTTGAATCCTGACTCTGTAACTTACTAGCTGTGGAATCCTGGGCAAGTCATCCCCTTTCTCCCAGTGTCCATCTCCTCCTTTGTAAAGGTATTGGATGAGATGGTCTCAAAGGTCACTTCCAGCTGAATGTCAATACCGCTGGATGCCTCATCCTGTTGCATGTCAACAGAATAAGCTTTAGGATCATAGATTTAGGTCTGGAAGAAATCTTGGAGGTCATTTAATCCAACCACTTCCTTAAGAGACTGGCGTGCAACAAAGAAATGGAGAGGTGAAAGTAGTAATAAAAATAAGAGGATATGGGCTCTAGAGCTGGGAGCCACCTTACAGATCTTCTGTAGAACGGAAAATCCTAGAGGATGGGACTCTTGTTTTTGTCTTTATATGCCCAGCATTTAGCACAGGACCTGGCACACAGCAGGTGCTTAAGAAGTGCTAGTTAATTGATCGATCTTGTTCAATCCCCAAATTTTACAAAGAAAGAAACTGAGCTTCAGAGGGATGAAGTGACTTTAAGTCCACACAGGCAGCAAGTAGGAGAGTCAGGATTTCTAGCTAGCTTGGCCCTCTGTTTCTAAACTCACTTTGAAACATGCTACAGAATTCGTGGATAGTGGTTAAACAATTCTCTTTTGAAGAATTAGACAGCTTTCTGTTTTCTTTTTCCCTTTCCTCTGCTGCTTAGCATCTCCATCCTAGTCAGTTTGAAAAGACCAAAAATTGGCACTTGGGGAGTTTCCAAACTTCACCAACTGGCTTGCAAGAGAGGCTTTTTATAAAACATAGACCTCTTGTGGGAAAGGAGTCATTGTACCTCAGTGTACTTGGTTCATAGATCTAGGCAGGTAGGTGATTGTAGATAGACTGCTAGACTTGGAGTGAGGAAGACCTGAGTTCAAATCCCACCTCAGACACTTACTAGCTGTGTGAGTCTGGATTAGTCACTTACCTGCTGCCTGCCTCAATTTCCTCATCTGTGAAATGGGGATAACAATAGCACCTACCTCCCAGTGTTGTGAGCATCAAGTAAAATAATGTTTGTAAAGTGCTTTCCAAACATAAAATTACCATATAAATGCAAGCTAGCTAGCTAGCCAGAACTGGAAGGGATCTCAGAGGTCATGTAGTCTAATACATATGACAGATAATGAAGGAGGCTCTGCAAAGCTGAGATTCACACCCAAATTCATACTCTGAATCCAGCATTCTGAATCATCCTCTCCACTGAACTGCTTACTGATCAACGTTATACTGTTTATCAGGGATGGTGATTATAAAAATCTTTTTTTATTGTTCAGTCATTTCAGTTGTGTCCAATTCTTTCTGACCCCAATTGGGGTTTTCTTGGCAAAGATACTAGAGTGGTTTGTCATTTCCTTCCCCAGATCATTTTACAGATGAGAAGACTGAGGCAAACAGGATTAAGTCACTTGCCCTGGATCATACAGCTAGTAAATGTCTGAGGCCAGATTTGAACTCACGAAGATGAGTATTCCTGACTCCAGGCCTAACACTTACCCACTTACCTGCCTCTTATATAGCATTAACAGTCACAAAACAAATTTTTCCAACACAATCCTGTGAGGTAGACATTATTAGTTGTATCATCTTCATTATACAGATGGGGAAACCAAGTCTCAGTGAGATGAAGTGGCTAGACCATGGTCAAAAAAGTACCAAGTACAATCAAAAAGCATTTATTAAACACCTGTTAAGTGTTAAGCACTTATTACAATAAAAATACAAGGGATAAAAATACAAAAATACAAGAGGCCTTTCCCTAAAGGAACTTACATTTGCATATAGACAATGTGAACACACACGTAAATAAAATATGTAACATGCAAAAAGAACACACGGTCTCTTGGGGAGTGAGGATACTAGCTGCTGCAAGAATCAAGGGGACCTCATGTGGAGGCTGAATTTTGAATGAAAGTAAGCATTCCAAGAGGCAAAGGTGAGGAAGGAGATAACTAGGAAGGGACTAAAGTGAAAGCAGTAGGAAGATGTACTACCACGTGGGCAGAGTGGCAAATAGACCAAGATGGCTGAACTGTAGGGCATGTGGAAGTGGGTAAAGGGACGGGAAAGTTAGGAAGTGCCAGCTGATGAAGAGCTTTTCTTGCCAAATAGAGACTTTTATTTGATCCTGGAGGCAATAGGGAGCCACTGGACTTTACTGAGCAGGGTGTGATACGGTCAGACTCACGATTTAGGAAAATCACTTTGGCAACTGAGTAAAGGATGGACTGGGCTGGAGAGAGACTTGAGGGAGGGAGACCAGTAAGAGGGCTCTTGTGAGAGGTGATGTGGTCTTATACAGAGGTGGTGACTGTGTAAGTGAAGAGAAGGAGACCAGTGTGAGAAACATTTATGGAGGTAGAACCCAGGGTCTTCCACCAAACACCACTTCCCATCCCCTGCTCCAGGGAGTACATTCCTGAAGGACTGGGCTTGGATGTATCCTCATGCATCACCCTTGGGATAGAGTAACTCTTGTCCATCTCTACTACCTCTGGAAGATGCATCACTTGGCTCCTTTCTCACCTCCTTTGTCTTGCTCTTTGTCATCACATTACAAGACAGAACACGTTCCAATCTGCACTACCCGCCCTTGGGAAGGGACCAGAAAAATGATCCATCTCTTAAGGGATTAACTGCAAAGAACCATAAACGATAAACATTCCTGAAATAGCAACTTGTGTCAGCCTTTCATTTCACTGCTAGATTCCTATTTAGTCACCCAACAGCCTTGTAAGATAGGCACTGGGGAGATAGATCAATGATTGCTGGATGAAGTAAAATAACGTTTATTAAGTGCTTTGCAAACTTTAAAGAACTATGTAAATACTAGCTATTATTATTATAGATAGTTTAATAGATTGAGTATTTAAGTGTTTACTGTGTGTACTCAAGGAGTTAACATTCTAATGGGAGAAGACAAAACATACAGAGGACCTGGAAACAGGGGGAAGGGTGTTTGTTTAGGGACAAGGGAGCAGTTGAGGAGAAAGAGGAAGAGGAGAAGTCTGGTGATTGAGTCAAGAAGAGTCAAGAATGAGGTGAAGGACCCCTACTGAAATAGTGGGAAGGAGGGAACCACCAATCAGGAGAGCAAGGGCTCAGGGTGGAGGTTTATCCAGGGTGAGAAAGCAGCTGGTGAGAAGTCCAGAAAGTGAGTATGATCAAGAGTGAGTGAGTGAGCCAGTCTGACTATCTCCATTGGTAAAAATAGGGAAACTGAGGCTCAGAGGCATTAAGTGAAATAGTTCATACAACCAGACAGTGAAATCCAATGAAATCCAGTCAAGAGTATAGTTAAGAGTGAGGGAACCAGTCTGATGATCTCCACTGGTAAAAATGGAGAAACTGAGGCTCAGAGGCATTAAATGAAATGGGTCACACAGCTGGCCAGTGAAATGTTTCCCCTTCATCATACTGCAGCTGGTAGCCAATGAACAGGGTTATGAAATGAACCCCAAGAGTCAAGATGATTAAGGCAGAAGGTCAGAAAAAAGCCAGCATGCCCAGTAAAAGGAAGGACCATCTCTCTAATTGAAGCTTGAAATTTCCAAGAATCTACCCCATCCGAATTTGCCTTTTACAGAGAGTCTTCTAAGAAGTTGTTACTTCTTATGGTAAAAGCAGAAGAACACTGGCTCAGGAAATACAGGACCTACATTCAAATCCCGTCCCGGATGTGTACTTCCTGATTGACCCTTCACGTGACACTTCCGCTGGGCTTCAGTTTCCTTCTCTGTACAATGAAGGAGATGATCTACATGACTTTGAAAGTCTCTTCCAGCTTTGACATCTATGACCATAGGTCTGCCTCCTTGGGACTTCTGTCTTTGAGGCCTCTTCAAATGAGAATTCTTCTTTTCTGTGAGACTTTTGAATATTTGAAGACCACAGTTTCATCCTCTGTACATCTTCTCTGCTTTAGGACAAGCATCTTCAGTGATGCTTCAGACCTTTTGGCCTCACATCTGGGCGTGCTCCACTTTGTCAAAGCCCCTCCTGAGAGAATTCGTCTTGATGCCCCTAACTTCTGGTCAGGGTAGAGGACCCAGGGTCTTGTCAACTTCTTGCTCTAGGCACTACTAATATCTTAATGCACCCAGACATCCCATTAGTTTTTTTGGCATACTAGATCATGCATTCATTCAGCAAGCATTCATTAAGTGCCTACTACACACCTAACACTGTATTAAGTCTTACAAATTAGGATACAAAACCAAAGTGAAACAGCCTGTCCCTCTATTGGAAGGGAAGAAATATATATAGATAATAACAATATATACAAAGTAATTTCCAGGGTGGGGCAGAGGTCTATGATGAAGGGCAATTTGTTAATAATAGAACAGGAATTCAACAGTTCATGGGGCAGCTAGGTGGCTCAATGGATAGAGCACTGGCCCTGGAGTCAGGAGCACCTGAGTTCAAATGCGGCCTCAGACACTTGACACTTCCTAGCTGTGTGACCCTGGGCAAGTCACTTAACCCAAATTGCCACACCAAAATTAAAAAAAAAGGTCACGATGGAAAGTTAGGGAAGAATGAAAGGATAGAGAGGGGAAGAGGGAAGGGAGCGAGCTTTATGAACCACCTGCTTTGGGCCAGAGACTATGTTACATGCTTTACAGATATTATCTTATTTGATCTGGAGGCACTGGAGGGATAGAGCTGACATAGATTGAGACAAGGAAGCTGGGAGCAGTGTTCAAGGAAGGGAGGTTTGGTAGGCACCCAAAGGGATTCTAAGCAGTTCCAGCTAAAATCCCCCCTCTTCCAGGAAGCCTTTCCCAACACCTCTTAACTGTAACATCTTCCTTGTGTTATGAATTATTTCCTACTTATCCTGCATATAGCTTGTTTGTATATAGTTGTTTGCTTATTGTCTTCCCCTCTCCCCGTTAGATTATGAATTCCTTGAGGGCAGGGGCTGTCTTTTGCATCTTTTTGTATCCTCTGGGTTTAAGTCAGTGCCTGGCACATAGGAGGCACTTAACAATAAATACTGATTGATTGACTGACTGATAGAGGAAAGTTGATTATCAAACCCTTTACAGCAGAAGTGGTAATATGGATTTGATTCTCAATCCCTGGGAAATAAGTAGAAAGCTGAGAGGATACTGTGCCTGGCAAATGTTCAGTTCACGGTTGTACCTGACTGTCAAGGCAGGGGTTAGTGGGATCTTGAAGCCAGACAGTAAGTGTCAAGTCTCTGAGGCGGAATTTGAACTCAGGTCCTCCTGACTCCAAGGCCGGTGCTCTATCCACTGTGCAATCTAGCTGCCTCAGATTGAACTTTCTTTCTTTCTTTCTTTCTTTCTTTCTTTCTTTCTTTCTTTCTTTCTTTCTTTCTTTCTTTCTTGTGAGGTAATTGGGGTTAAGAGACTTGCCTAGGATCACACAGCAAATGTAAAGTGTCTGAGGCTGGATTTGAACTCAGGTCCTCCTGACTCCAAGGTCAGTGCTCTATCCACTGTGCCACTAGCTGCCCACTCATCATGAACTCTTAAACTCCTGTTCTATTGTTATCAAACTGTCCTTCATCATAGACCTATGCCCCACCCTGGAAATTACTTTGTATATATTATTATCTATATATATTGTTTCCCTTACAATAGAGGGTTGGGCTCAGCCAAGACAGCTCTGTCCAAGGACTTACTCCAATGTTGAGTAGATTATCTCAGTTTCTATATCTGTAAAAGGAGAAGGTTTGACTTTATGACCTCTAAGGTCCCTTTCAGCTGTAAATATAGGGGCAGGGGGCAAGTAACTTTGCCTGTATGGGCCTCAGTTTCTGTAATACAAGGATAACAGAGTTGAAAGAACAATGCATTTGAAGTCAGAAAACCTGAGTTCAAATCCTACCTCTGGCATTTACTACCTGTGCGACCTTGGACAAGTCACCTCCTCATGGCCTCAGTTTCGTCTATAAACTGAGAGAGAACCCAGACATCTTTGAGGCCCCTCCTAGCTCTAAATCTATGATTCTAGTTCACTTTGCCTCTCCACATCTCAGTTTTCTCATCTCTCAGATGGGGATAATAATATTGATGCAGATTACTTCCCAAGGGTTGTTTTGAGAAAAGTGCTTTGTTAGCATTAAAATGCTAGAAAAGTAGGAGAGGTGAAGATTGTTCTCACCAGCAGGGGGCAGTAACCATAAAGGAAACGTGAAGTCCTTGGTCCTGTGGATCAGGTGTGATAGGAGACTATGGAAGGGGAAATGCTCAAGCTTGTGCCCAGAGCCCTTTTTGCCCAGTACATCCTGCCTCTGTGGTCCAAGCAATGGGAGGTGTACAGGGAGAGGTTTCTGAACATCAGCCTTCTATAGATGTTAGCTGGGTGAAGCACAGCCATCATCATCATCAAAAGAAGAGGAGAAGGAGGAAAGGAAAGGGGAAAAGGAAGGAGAGAGAGAGAGATTTGTTGCCAAGATTTTTGCTCAGTTACCTGTTTCCCTCATAATTTTTGCTACTTTGTGCAATAACGTTAAATCTTCATATACCCTTCATTTTACAGATGAGGAAACTGAGGCACAGGGAAATAAAGAAACTTACTCATGATCATATAGCTAATGGGTGTGTCAGAGGCCAGACTTGAACTCAGTCCATCCTGCCATCTCTCCGTTACGCCACACTGCCTCTCACATATTTGCTTTAGTGAATTTCATATATATCTGTTGTGTCTTTCTGAATCACATATGGCAGCTGGCATAGGTCCTCTGAATCCAAATTCAGCATTCTTTCCTTTGTCTTCACTCACTCACTCACTCACCAGGCATTAAATGCCTGCCACAGGCCGGGCGCTGAGGATGCAGAAGCCATAATGAACCATTCTCTGCTTTCCAGGAGTGTCTCGTGTCCTCATAACACCTTGTGCATCACTTCATTAGATTCTACTTGGTTATCTTTGAGAGGATGGAAGTCATTTGCATGTATTTTTCCATTTTCTGACAGATGGATGGAAAAAAAGATGGGTTCAATCTAAACATTGGTCCAGCTATGGTAAATTCCAGCTGACGGCTGGGAGGTTCTATGGAGACAAAGAGAAGGATAAAGGTGAGTGTTCCTATCGTTGAGAGTGGGTGGGACTGGAGAGTTCCAATTCCTAGAGAGCCTTTGCTGTTCATGAATCATGGTCCCATCTGTTCATCCCCCCAAAGTGTCCTTCCCTTCCCTGCCTTCCTCTTTGGATACCTCCCCAAGGTGCAAGGGTGGAGAGCCTGTGGCTTCAAGGCCACATGTGGCCCTCTAGGTCCTCAAGTGTGGCTGGCCACTTGTGGCCCCTGGGAGCCTGGGGTCCTAAAAAGTTAAGCCAATGAGCAAGCACAGGCTTTGGCTGGCCCTCTTCAAATCCTCCCGACTTAGAATGACTTCACATACAGAGCTGACTGTGCTCAATGTTTGGTGTCCCAGGACCGGCCTCACAGCTTATTTGATAGTTGACCACTAGGCAACGATTTTTTTTTTGACCATAGCATCTACTACCGTCCAGAAGATGTACAATCTATATCAGTGGGCTAAGAAGCACCACTGTTGAAAGTACAAGTCTTTTAAAAATATTGAGGTAAAGGGGCAGCGAGGTGGCATAGTGCATAGAGCATAGGCCCTGAAGTCTCCTGGACCTGAGTTCAATCTGGCCTCAGACCAAAACACTTGACACTTACTAGCTGTGTGACCCTGGGAAAGTCACTTAACCCCAATTGCCTAAAAATAAAAATATTGAGGTAAGAAGAATCCTGGGATTTAGTGCTAGAATGGATCATCGAGATTGTCTTACCCAAATCTTCCATTTTACAGACAAGAAAACTGAGGCCCAGAGGAAAGGAAATGACTTGCCCAAGGTCTCACAGCTAATAGGGAGGCAGGATTTGAATTCAGGCCCTCTTTTTCTAAATTTAGTGTTCTTTCCACTATACTATACTGCCTTTATATAAAGCTTGATACATATGTATATGTATATATAAACGAAGGGTTTAAAAAAAGATGAGTCATCTATCTTAAATTTTGAGGAAGTTTGTTATCATGGAATTAATTCATTCTATATGTAGTTCTACCCATATTTACTAAGAATGTATTTGGGGGCAGCTAGGTGGCTCAATGGATAGAGCACTGGCCTTGGATTCAGGAGGACCTGAGTTCAAATCAAGCCTCAGACACATAACACTTACTAGCTGTGTGACCCTGGGCAAGTCACTTAACCCCATCGCCTAGCCCCCCCCCAAAAGAATCTACTTGGAACAATACCATCAAAATTGATTTACACCAATAAAATTACCAAGGGGATACTTTGTAGAGCTTGGTAAAATAATAGCAGAATTCATTTGGAAAAATAGAATATCAAGGGAAATTATGAAAAGAAGTGAGGACAAGGGGGGGATAGCACTTGAAGACTATATTATAACTATATATTAGAACTATATTATAAACCAGCAGTCATCAAAGCTGTTTGTTATTACTGAAAGAATAGATGGATCAGTGCAACAGACTAGATAATTGAGATTCAGAAATAATAGAACTCAATGACCCAGTGTTTGATTAAATGGAAAACATAAATTACCTAGGGAAAAAATTCCTTATTTAATTAAAAAAAACCTTTTGGGAAAACTGAAAATCAGTCTGGCAGAAATTAAACTTAGACCAACAATTCATTCTAAATGGATATATGACCTTAATATCTTTAGATCTTTATCATCTTTAGATCAAACTATAAAAAAAATAGAGGACAAATAAAACACATACCTCTCACAGCCATGGGTAGATATATTCTCTTTTTTTGCTATTTGATTTCTTCTTATTTTCAGTTCTAAAATCTCTCCTTCTCCCCACCTCCTTTCCTACCCATTGAAAAGGCAAATAGGAAATGTAGTCTTAACCAGAGATAGAGGCAATTACAAAGAAAATTGATAATTTTGATTATTTAAAACTGAAAGGTTTCTTCACAGACAAAATTAATATACCTAGGATTAGAAGGGAAATGGTTGAATGGGAAAGAAATCTTTGTATCAGATTTACCTGATAAGGTAAATATATGTGTGTGTGTGTGTGTATGTGTGTGTGTGTATTATACACATATATATATTTACCTTATCAAGTATTACACACACACACATACACACACACACACACACACACACACACACACACACACACACACACACACACCCCTTTCCCATCTTTTTACACTTTACACACATCCTCCCCAGGTACTCTTTAATCCAATGATGCCAGCCTCTTAGCTGTTGCCTAAACAAGCCCCTCTATCTCTTGACTCCAGAATTTTCCCTGGCTGTCCTCCAGGCTTGGAATGCTCTTTCTGCTCATCTCTACTTCCTTCAAGTCTCAGCTAAAATCCCACCTTCTACAAGAAGCCTTCCCTAATTCCCCCGATTACAGTGCTTTCCCTCTGATCATTAATTACTATTTATCCTATATATAGTTTGCACATATTTGTTTGCTTCTTGTCTCCACAACTAATTGTAAGTTCCTTGAGGGCAGGGACTGTCTTTTGCTGCTTTCCCCCAAGTGTTCCCAGTGCTAGAACAGTGCCTGGCACATAGCAGGCATTTATGTTTATTGAATAAATGAAGAGGGATCAGAGGCCAATGTGAAGAGTGCCCTCTAGTGTTCACTCAAAAGAAGCACCTCTTCTGCAATTCATTCTCTCCTTTCATAAACAGTTATGAAGCATCTCAGAAGTGCAAGCGGGGGAAGGGGCTCACTTTTCTGTGTCCAGGGAAGATACAGATACACAGAAGTTAGGGTCCCCTATCATCAAGAAGCTCACGGTCTTACTGAGGCTGAGGAGGGGTGAAGAGATTTGCCCAGGGTTACACATCTAATAAATGTCCAAGGCAGGATTTGAACTCAGGTCTTCCTTGCTCCAAGTCCAGTACTCTTATCTACTGTTTCGCCTAGCTGCCTCCAAAATGAGGACAAGGTGATTTCCAAGGTCCCTTCCAGCTCAAGTCTGTCCAAGGTGCTCTAAGGCACTGATGTGGCATCACGTGAGCACCAGCCTGGGTACTCAGAGCCAGAGTTCCACATCCTTGGCCCGGGGTCCAAAGAAGCCTTTGCTGCTATAAATAGAGTCCATTAGTCTTACCATTTAATTTTGCCCCCTCTCCTATTTCCTAGTCCACTGTCACAAATCTAATTTTAGAGCTCATTTAAAGATGAAAATTAGTCATTGGTAGGAGCTTATTAAATTTCTCCTTCCCCATGAAAGTTTCATGGAATGAAGGAAAATGAGAAGTGGCTGGAGATGAGTGGGAGCTCATTTATTGCTGATTTCCTTCTTCTCATCATGTCCCAACTGCACCAGTCTTCTATCTCGCTTACTTTCGCTTCTATACTTCATATAGACCTACTGAGGGATAAAAGGCAGGGTGGTGGCTTTGGGGTGCTTACAGTGGGCCCTGCACACAAAGCTTGGGAAACCTCATTGGGCTATTTAAGAATTGTGTGTTTAATGAGGCTGTCTTATGATTCCGCACACACAAAGCCTCTCAATAAAGTGCCATTCCAGCCAAATCAGCCGAAAGCCCCTCCTGTGAAACAAGATGAGATGCCATTAATTTTCATTTTAGTTAAACCTGTTGGATGTCTGGGTGTTGACTATGGTGAAGACTGGTCATGTGTTGACCATGGTGAAGACTATTTGTGAACCACTGTCAACTATGGCAAAGACCAAATGCTGGACATACATTGGCTATGATGGAAGCCCCACATGGACCATGGATTAAATGTGGTGAATACTATAGCAATGTATTGTCCATGGTGAAGGCTATATGTGGACCATGTATTAACAGAGGCAAAAGCCAAGTGCTAGACGTAGATTGACTGTGATGACGGCTGCATGTAGGCCATGCATTGAATTTGATTAAGGCTGTGTCCTAGTCAGAGTGAAGGTGATATATTGACCTTGGTGAAAGCCAAGTACTGAACATACGTTGACTAATGAAGACTGCATGTGGGCTGTGTATTAACTATGGTGAAGATCATGTGTTGGCCATATGTTGACCATGCCAGACCATGTACTAGACATGTATTGAATGTGATGAAAGCTATAATTAGATCATATATTGAGCTGCACAAAGGCTGTGCGTGGGCCAAATATTTGCTGTGGTGAAGGCCACGTCCTAGTCATGCAGAGACCAGGGTGAAGGGTGGATTGACTTTGCTTTCTTCCATGAAGAAAAAGTCATAAGAAACAGAGGGATGCCACCTTCTGGCAGCCAGTTTATAGTCTGTATTCTATTCTCTTGAGGTAATTTCAGTCAAGTTAGGGAGGTGAGATATAAAAATATAAACTGGTTACATAAGGTACTCTATGATTACATGGTAAGAGGGATGACATCAGGGGTCATCTGAGTACCAGGGGCAGGGCCAGGCAGAGTGATGAGAGACCTTTTTGTTTTATTTTATTTTTTGAGACTTTTTGAAATAAGAAAGATCTCTTGGTGGGTTCAAATATGTATGTAACAACAGAGCAGCATTGGCCCGGGGGGCTGGGCTTGTCCCCTCCCAATCAATCAGTCAAATGGAATTTATTAAGCACCTACTATGTGCTACCTGTGCTCAGTGCTGGGGATACAAAAAAAGGCAAAAGACAGTCCCTGCTTTCAGTGCTCTCACAGTGTGATGGAGGAGACAACATGCAAACAATTACGTACAGGGAGCAGGGGATGGGAATAAGCATTTGTATAGTGCCTGCTATGTGCCAGGCACTTGCTAAGCACTTTTATTTTTTACAAATATCTCATTCAAGTCTCACAACAACCCTGTTATTATCCTTCTTCTACAGTTGAGGAAACTGAGGCAAACAGAGGTTAAGTGACTTGCCTAGGGTCACATAGTAAGTGTCTAAGGCTGAACTTTAATTCAGGTCTTCATGACTCCAGGCCCAACTCTCTAGCCACTGCCCTCCTAACTGCCTTGTCTGGGCAGACAAGATATAGACAAGATAAATTGGAGATAATCAGTGGAGGGAAGGCACTGGAAATAAAGGGGATGAGGGAAGGCTTTTTGAAGAAGATGGGACTTTACCTGAGACTTGATGGAAGCCAGGGAAGGCAGGAGGCAGAGATGAGGAGGGAGCTCCCACTAAGGGGCTCCTCTCCGCTCAGACTGAGTGTTAGCCCCAGCAGTACCTGGCACACAGCAGGTTCTCAACAAAGTTTAGTTGAATATTTAAATAAGGTAATAAATTTCTGTCCAAGAATCTGGGCTTCATGGGCCTTGGCGCTGCTCACCTGGATTCCAGGCAGGCCAGTCTGGCCACCTCGGGCGTGGTTTAGTTTCCTTTCGGTTTGGCTGGGTTTTTTCTAAGCCCGCTTTATCCACTGCTGACATTGTTCGTCTTCCAGGTCTGTGCTTTCTCTCTCATCAGGTCTCCAGACAAGTGAAGACGCCAAGTTTTATGCCTTGTCGGCACAATTCAAGCCCTTCAGCAATGAGGGGCAAAGTTTGGTGGTGCAGTTTTCAGTAAAGCATGAGCAGGGCATTGATTGCGGTGGGGGCTATGTTAAACTCTTTCCTGAGGATCTGGACGAAGAGAACATGCATTCCAACTCCACCTACTATATCATGTTTGGTGAGTTCTTCAGCCAAGGCCTCTTTCCCTGTCCATGGCCAAGGCTATGACGGTGCTGGAATGTTGGAGCCGGAAGAGGCCCTTAGGGCTAGTGGTGTTCTCTTGGGCAGGCACTGGTTGGCTCAGATGGCCTTTGCAGTCCCTCCCAAATCTGAGACTCTGCAATCCGCACCTAAAAATGCCATCCTCACTAACCCAAGGGTTGGCCCAGCTGCCAGAGGGTTTATTCACGGCAGGCCCCAGTGCGATGTCCCTTCACCTTGCATGACTCTAACGCCAGGAGGGGTAGACTCATCGTTGCTTCTGCTCCTAAACAGTGATGCTACAATTTATCTGATGCCATTGGGTTTTCCATTTTCAGGCCCAGACATCTGTGGAATGGGAAACAACAAAGTGCATGTCGTCCTTAATTATAAAGGAAAAAACCACGAAATTAATAAAACCATCAAGTGCAGGGTAAGTCCACAGGCCTGGGTGTGGAGGTTTGGGAGAAATTCAGAGAGGGCATTCAGACACTGTGGAGAGCAGCAGGTGTAGTGTGTGAGACCACATGGTTTAGATTAGATGGCTCCTTGGGAATCCTGCTACTGCTGAAGTTCCCAGCTTTGCTTTTTCTCCTTCAAGGGGTGGTATTAACAACAAAATGAGTCATTTTATTTTTGTTTGGGGGAGCAATCGGAGTTAAGTGACTTGCCCAGGGTCGCACAGCTAGTGTCAGGTGTCTGAGGCCGGACTTGAACTCAGGTCCTCCTGCCGCCGGGGCAGGTGCTCTATCCAATGCACCACCTAGCTGCCCCTGCTCTTCTTTTGATTCTCCTCCACTCTGCTTCTCTCCCTGTTGCCCGCTCATCTCCAGGTGTTTGCTGTGTCCTATATTGTTCTTCTGCTCTCTGGTTTCTCGTCTTCTCACCAACTCCTCTGAGGTCTAATAGTAAAGCTTCTTTGTGAATGGTGACCATCTGAAACTCAGGTGGAGAACCCAAATTCCACAGTTCTACCAGGTGTAACACAAACATACCATATACAACTTTTCTGTAGTCTCCAACCAGTTCTTTCATTTCATTTCTCAGTTACAGGCTTCCAAACTCTCAGAACAGGGTCATATATTAAGGAACTGATGGACAACAACGCACATAGCCACCCCCACCTTTATTCAGCATTCCTGTCTCTGACTTACTTTCAGACGTTTCCCCTCAGTACATTTATCTGAGAGATTGTTTTCTCCCAAGTCCTCAACTATCTGAAGCTGTTTTTCTCATACAAATATCCTTTTACTGCCTCTTTCAGTAAATAAAATGTCCACATATGAAATGGACAATGATTTATACAACGAAAAGGGAAGCACTTCATTCGAAGACAAAAATAAAATAGTCCCTGTTTAGCACAGGGGTGGCCTTGAGGCTACAGGTTTCCCACCCCTGGTTTAGGAACTTGTGTTCAGGGGGGGGAGGAATATGTAAACGCATATACCAGGTAAACACAAAGTAATTTGTGGGACTCTAGCAGCAGAAGGGATCAGGAAATGGCTCATGTAGTTGATGGCACTTGAACTCAGTTTGCTTGGTCATGTTCTCTGAAGCTGCTTTCTACTTGCCCTGTATCAATGTGGGTCCTTGAGTATGTGTCTCCCAGATGGATGCAATATCTCCTACTGGTTCAGTTACTGTTGTTAAATGATAACAACATCAATAATGCTCATATCTTCCTCCTGGACATTGCAAAGAGCTCTGAGGTCTAGGACTGAAAGGTGAGCTCTGAGCCTCTGCTTCCTCTACCTAGTACAACAACCCCACTAAGGACAGTTGAGGCCACTGGGGAGGATTAATCTGTAGGAGAGAGAACTTGGTGACATGATTCTGGCCTTTTGGTTTTTAAAGGGTAGAGAAGAAAGCTCTTCCTCTGCAACTGTCCCAGATCTTCTGGCCATGCTGGGCCAGGCTTGATTAGAGATCTAGGCTCAGCACCACCTATGACCCTTCAGATTCCCAAATCAGACCCCTTGCTCCTCCTGCCTTAGGTAATACACTTTCTGAGAGGGGAGCCAGACTGGGTAATGCTGCAGAGCCTTCAGAATTGTCCCCTTCCCTGCAAATCAATAAAGACACTCACCTATATACTCTGATTCTTCGCCCGGATTGTACCTATGGCATCAAGATAGATAATCAACTGGTGGCAATTGGGGCTTTAGAGGATGACTGGGATTTTCTACCCCCCAAAAGAATCAAAGATCCGTATGCGAGGAAACCTCGAAAGTGGGATGAGAGACCCCAAATTGAGGATCCTGATGACAAGAAACCAGAGGTAAATGGATTCTTCTCCTGGTCCCCTCTCTCTAAATGATGCTAATTAATGAGACTAAGAATTTTATGAGTCATCAGAAGCATAACCCTTTCACTATTTCACTTTCAGCAGGCATTCATGTGCATCTGGAAATCATTTTGCTCTGGGAGAGCTATCTTTGTATCCCCTGGGGCCAAACTATGCTGGACACCTAAGAGTCGCTTAAACAATTGTTTAATTCAATCGAATCCAAGAACAATTGTATAATACTGTACAGTACAATTGTACTGTTATCTCCATGACAGCGTCATTTGCATAGCAGGTGCTCAAGAAGTTTGTAGTGGGTCATTAATTGAATGAATTATTGATTGTAGAACTTCCGCTATAAAGAGGGGAGATTTTTCCAGGCAGGCAGGCAGCCAGCCTTTCCTATTACCCTATACTAGGCCCAGTAAGCAGCTACTGGCCCTGACTTTGGGGCCACCAGCATTTTGGGTGCCCTTCACCCCTTGACATCCTTAACCTTCCTCTTTTCACTGAGGGATCTGGAAGCTATGCCCTATGAGTTCAGTTGAAAGAACTGGAAATTCTTGGCCTCCACCCAAGCTGCTGAATCCCTCAGACACAGGAGAAGACCATGGTTCCAACACCAGGCAGGCTTGCTCCTATCTTGGCATGGGACAGCCAAGGGAGGAGGAGGGGACCCAACCACCAGCCAGCAACCCCTTGCCTGTTGCTATCAGAGGTCAAATGGAGATGAAGATCAGATGGAGGGGAGAATAGGGAATAAGAGAACTGTTCATTTTAGATAGACCTGCAGGGAGGATTCCCTCACACTGGCTTATTAACCCTTCCACCTCCAATAAAGGATTCACATTTTGTGTCTCATTACAACAGTCTTCTGTGTATATTTCCATCTGCTGTATTCCAAAGCCACCAACAAGTCCTTAAGGTGGATCAATTTTATCTTAGGACTGGGAAGATTTTGAAAAAATCCCGGATCCAGACGCAAAGAAGCCTAATGACTGGGATGCAGCAATGGATGGCGAGTGGGAGCCCCCTTTGATCCCAAACCCAAAGTATAAGGTAAAGGGGTATTTTTTTCTCTTGCAAAGAAAACAAAATATAGAACAAGAAATGAATGGAACTTCTAATGGATAAAGTATCAATTCTGAGGCTTGGTGGATGTGTTTAGGGTAGGCACTGGGCTAGGAATGATGCCAGGCTTATCTTGCATAGGTCAGAACATACTTCTTCTGTTTATATGACCTCAAGGGAAGCTGTGAGGGGAGCTGACCTGGGATTCTTGAGCTGGTAGTGTGCATTAACTGATTCACCAAATCTTGTCCTTCCTTTGAAGAATAGCTGAGGCCACTGGGAAGGATTAGTCTGCAGGAGAGAGAACTTGGTAACATGATTCTGTCCATTTTTTAAGTTCTGTCATCATCTCTGTGGCTTTAGAGGGGAAAACTAGGAGGTAAGAGATATATGGAGGCTGAATTTGGCTTAAGGTAAGGAAGACCTTTCTAACATTGAGAGCTGTCCAAGAATGGAACAGATTAGGTCAGGACAGCTAGTGAGCTCCCTGTCCCTGGAGATATTCAAATTTACCTCTTTATTCAAGTTGTTGAGAAACACCAGTAACAGAACAGGGCTCTGCGGTGCAGGCTATTTATAAAACATAAACAACAAATGACTAAATGAATATATAAATAAATGAAACAGCTTATTACGATTAGGGCCAAATCCAAATTTCAGTAGAATTTGAAATCAATAACTTGGGTTATCTCCTTGCTTGAAATTAGAAATGCTGGAAAAAATGCCGATATTCCTATTCAGTATGTCCTATTTTAATTTTAGGGTGAGTGGAAGCCTCGAATAATTGATAACCCAGATTATAAAGGTGAGTGGGTACATCCAGAAATCGACAACCCGAAGTATAAAGCAGACCCCAATATTTACAGATATCATAACACCAGTGTCCTGGGCCTGGATATTTGGCAGGTATGTAGTAACTACATATATACACATTTGGCATGTAATAATTAAGTGGCAATCACTTAGGATCACAGAACTTCATAGTGGGAACGGACCTTAGAAGGATTCTAGACCAACCCATAAATGAGTGGGAATCCATGCTGCTTTTTGGGGGGCTACTGTGATATATGTGGGATCATATTGAGCTTGCATTCCACTGAAACCCCCAGATCTTTTTCGAATGAATTGTCATCTAGCCATACTGGCATTTACCTAGTGCGTTAAAATTTGTCAGCCATTATCTAACTAGGTCTTTACAATGACATCATGAGGTAGGTACCGCAGGTATTGTCTGCAGTATTATTATTATCTATAATGGCACTGCTGCTCTGGGTTACATAGCTAATAATTGCCTAAGATAGGATTTCGACCCAATCTCTACTTACTCCAAACCGTGAAACTCCATTGTGGTATCACAAGGCCTCTTATGATGGAAGGATTGTCATCTAGCCCAAATTTGTCTCTCTGCAACTCCTCCTACCCCACCTCCATACCCACCGTGCTCCGGGTTCTTCTCTCTGGGACCCAAACAGAGCAAGTAGCATGTGCCTTCCACGTAAGAACCTTTCATATCCTTGAAGAGAACCTCACGTCTCCCCCAGTCTTTTCTTCTCCAGGATGGAACACCCTCAGTTCCTTCGGCTGGGCCGCTCTTGCATGTCCATCAGCTGCCCTCCGGTGGACACGCTGCAGGGTGTTTCCTATTTGGTGCCCAGAACCAAATGGAGGACCATACTCATAGCTGGGCAAAGGAATCAGGGAAGACTTCCTAAAAGAGGCAGCAGCGGAGGCGGGCCTGGAATGAAGGGAAGACATGAACACAAGCTCAGATAAGGTAGTAAAGAGAAGGTTTTCAACAGGTAAAGATTAGGAGAAAGGAAATGGCAAGGTTTGGCTACAATACGGCATATGGGAAGTGGAACTGAGGGTGTGGGCAGAGGGGGAGCAAAAATTAGTCAGCTAGTGTGGTCCCTGAGTGCAGAGGGCCTTGGTTGTGAGGCCAAGACCTCCTGTCCTCTCTGCAACGAAGCTGCTTCTACAGCCAATGAAAATATTATCCCATGGTTCAAGAAGGACATTTGTTGACTTTAGGAGAAAACAAAAACATTTCATGTAAATTCGTGGTAATCATCCCGAGTATCTTTTCTTCCAACAGGTAAAATCTGGTTCTATATTTGACAGTTTCCTCCTGACGAATGATGAAGAATTTGCAGAAAAAGTTGGAAATCAGACCTGGGGAGTAAGAAAAGTAAGCGGAGCCTTTGTTTGGCTGTGGGCAAATTTCAGCAGGATCACCTAATAATAATTTAATCACTTATCATGCCCTGGGATTCTTTGTTGTAACCAAAGAATTCATCCCTGATGGCTAATCTGTTGGCTATGAGCCTAGCAGGGCTTACTGAGGCTGCTCCCCTTTGGAAGAGCCAGGAGGACCCTCAACTCTACTAGCAGAGCTTACAAGACATTGGAGACACCTCCTTGCAATCTTAGGGAACGGAAAAGAAATATAAGTATATATAACATATTTAATTTTTTTATTAAAAGATGAGCATTAGGCTTCAATACAGTCAATTAAATATCCTTAGTATCAGTTTACATTTAACATGATTTCTTTTTTAAAATTCAAATGAATTTTATTTTGTTTTCAACTAACATACACTTCTTTTCCCTTCCCTCACCTACCCCCAAGGTCCTGCCCATTGGGAGAAAGGGGAGAACCAAAGTCTTTACAACCAAATCTGCATATATTTGGTGAGGGAAAGATTACTTTCCCCAGGAACTACCAAGAGCTGGTCTCCTCCAAATCTCCCACTCCCAAGAAAATGAACACCACTCTACAGACCCTTTAAAATGTAGCCAAGGAGTGAAAATTTCTCCTACAGGGCAGGCTAGAGTCATTCATTCATTGGATAATCCACATGTTCAAGTATCTACTATGTGCAAGATTTTGTACTAGGTTATGCAGGGAGAACTTTAGATAGTTAAGACAGTTCTTGCCCTTATGGAGTATATAATGGGGGGAAGTGGGAAGGGAAATAATGCAGCTATATAATACTATAGAATAGAAGACAGGAACCAGAGAGAAACAAGATGCTATGCAAGGTCTGAGGAGGGTGAGATCACTTCTGACTTGGGAGAGGAGAGAAAATCAGTGAAGGCTTCCTGTAGGAGGAACCAATGAACCTGACCTTAAAGGCTAGGTCACTTCTCAAAGGTTAGAATGGTGGGAGGGGGAAATTAGAGTTGTCTAACCTCTAAATTATGTGGAAATTACATATTCAAAACAGGACCCAGAAAAAATATGGAGGGAAGCTTATGAAGCAGAGGAAAAGAGGAAACAACAGGAAGAGACCAAGAAAAAAATAGAAGCCGCCGAAGAAGAAGAAGAAGAAGAAGAAGAAGAAGAAGAAGAAGAAGAAGAAGAAGAAGAAGAAGAAGAAAAAGAAATACGCTGTGGAGAAAGAGGAGGAGGAGGAGGAGGAGGAGGATGAAGATGCTAACCAGCCTGAACTGGAAAAAGACAAAGAGCTGAAGGAAGAAGAAGAAAACAGGGATAAAGGAGGGAATGGGACCACTGGGGTGGACATAAAGGATGAATTGTAATTGTATTGAATAGTAACTCATAGTCAATAGCTAATGGGCATTGCTAATTAGGCTTGGGAGCTCACTTAAAACAATGCAAAAATGAATGCAATAAACATACGTTATGCAGTTGGGTGGAGCTACGTGCAGGGGGCGGTACAAGGTTTAGATAAAGGTCTCTCGCCTTCAAGGAACTTATGTGGCCTAACAAAATCTTACTGCCTGGATGCATTGTTGAGACATTAGTCATGAAATGGATGGGCAGAAACCAGCCCTTAGTTGGCACTGGGTGCTCTGCCAGGGATTTACGGGCAGCTGGGTAAAGAGGGGTCTTATGTTCTTGACCCATGCTAGAAAGTAATGCTTTCCTCCAACCATGAATGGTATATGAGGCCTTTGGATCAAACACTTTTGTTGAATTACTTAAGTTTTTACAATATCAAGCATCTAATAATAAAGGACCACTCTTTGGGTACGTCTCTGGGTTTCTTTTTATGTTTATACGTCCATGTATTTTCAGTTCTTATATTTCTGGATTTTTAAATTGGGGGGGGAGGGATAATTCTTTCAGGCCTACCTGTGTACAAAGCCAGTCTTCCTGCCCACCAGCAGCTTCCCTATCCCCCCCACCCCCAGCCCTGAGGGTTACATTGAGTCTGCTGACCAGTACAGGGGTCTTTCCAAATGTTACTTAATGGACTCCTCCGTCTCACTGGGACACAGGATGGAGGGGTTTGAAAGGATTCTCTTTCCAAGACAATCTTCTTCATCTAAATGCAGAGGAATAGTAACCGAGTCTGTGGAAGCAACCAAAATGCAGCTGGCTGCTGACCCACCAGCACGGGCAGCAGGAAGGAGACAGACAGATCTCCAGGTTCCTGCCTGCCCCTCGGTCCTGAGGGCAGGAACAGTGATTGGGAGGGTCACGACACCACATGTGCTTACCTATTCATTTCGGGTGGAGAATTACTTCTAGACAGTCTGCTCTTCCCTCACACACCTTCGTGCCCACACACCCTGTGGTTGGTTTTCTCCATCAATTAGTCAGGGCACTGAGTCAAGGAGGCCCAGCTTGAGTCTCCTTCCCACCACTCTGTTCACAAAGTAAATCCTAAACCCTGGCCAGGCAGCTCACAAAATGTATGTGTGATGGCGGGGAGGGGAGAGGCCCAAATCCATCCTGGGGCTGCTGAAACAGCAACCTTGAGAGAATGACAACTACTCGTATTCCAGTAGCACTTGCAGTGTCCACACACCCTTCCATCCACCCATCTAGCTGTGTATCTATCATGTATGTAGCTATTTACTGCTTAGTATGGCCCCTAGCACATAGCATGTGCTTGAAGGCTAGTTCATCATCCATTCATCAAGCTAGCTATTTATTATGTGTGTATGTATGTATGTATGCACATATGCATGTGTGTATGTATGTATATATCTACTGCTTAGTGTGAGAGTTAGGTAAACGTTAAATTTCCACAGAGAAAGAGAATAATGCAGAGATTTAAAGAGCAGCTGCAGAAAGTAGTACACTGTAGGTGGGCTGGGGCTTAGCCAGTAAAAAGCAAGCTGATGGTTCCAAAAAGACCCCAAAATCAAGATAAGGGTCGAGCCAGCTCAGACCAGTTAGGGTCAACCTGAGGACACCTGAAAAATGTTAGTGTGCCTGCTTAATGAACTTCATTACTATTATCTGACACAACCCGCATAAAATGAGAGCCTCATTAACGAGTCATGGAACATATGACCAAGGGAGGGGGAACATACTTGAGCATATCAAGGGGAAACGTGTAAGGAAAGGTGTAACGTGGGAAGGGATGGACCAATCCCGGCCTGGGAGGTTTTACGCCGAATTTAGCAGTATAAAAGTATTTGCACCTTAACACTCAGGGCCCACCCCTCCTGAAGAGGGGTAGAGCCCGCTTCTGACCAGAAACGTCTAAATCCTCTGGACTTTCTCTGTAATAAATTTTCTTGATACTAAATTTTTGGTGTCAAGTGTATTTCTAACATTAGCATGGTGCCTGGCATAGTATGTGTTGGAAGGCTAGCTGACCATCCATCCATCATCCATCCATCAGGTTATATATCTATGTATGTGTGTATGTGTATAGATATATACATATGTATATCAGAACAGTGTCTGGCCCGTAGTAGGTACTTAATACTAATTAATTTTCTATCTAGGCAGCCAGCTAGGCATGTATGTATGTATATATTTCTCTCTTAGTTCAGTGTTTGGCACACAGTAGGTACTTAAAACTAGTTGATTCCATCCATCCATCCATCCATCCATCCATCCATCCATCCATCCATATATCTATTTCTTTCACTATAACTCCTTGTGAGGCAGGTAGTGTGTGTAGTCCTGTCCCTATTTCACCGAGGACGTTGTGGTCAGTAACCCAGGATACTCTTGACTTCCAATCAAATTGAAGTTGACTTGAGTTGAAAGTACAGCTATTTATCTTCCTTCTCCTCCCTCCTCCCAGTTACGTCTTCTACAACCTCCTCACCAACCACCTTGCTGCCCACACCACAGACCTGAAGGAACTTCTGCTCTGGGGCTCCACTCTCCTAATTAGTGACTGCCTCTCCCAAAACACTATTTCAAGAAAGCCCTAGCTAAGGAGCCCTTCACTCCCTCCTCTCCAGCTGCCTCCTCCGGCAGTTTTACTTCCCCGAATCTCTTCCCCCATCCTCAGTTTCGGAACCATGAACCACGACTAAATCAACTCTGCCATTGTTCCTGGATGGGGTGTATCAATCTACTCCCCTACAGCCCCACTTACCAACCGGGTAACTTTTCAAGACCAAAATATCCTTCTCCTTGCTAGGCCACTATGTCCCAACACTCCATTAGATTATAAACTCCTTGAGAGCAGAGACAGTTGCTTTTGCATTCCTATCCCCAGCATTGAGTAAGTGCTTAGGATCAGAGGGTCACAGATTTAGAGCTGGGAGGGACCTTAGATCACAGGGATCATCTCCTCCAATTTCCTTATTTTACAGATAAGAGAAGCCCAGAAAAAACTAAGTGATTTGCTCACAGCTTGGCACATAGTAAACACTTAAAACACGCTTTTCATCCATCCATTCATTTTTCATTTTTCTTTATTTTAAAATAAGTTTTTACTGATGCCTTTCTGTTTTTTTTATATCACCAGAGTTTTCCCTAGCATCCTACCCCTTCCCCCAACTGCTCCCAGAAAGCCATCCTGTTTAAAGACAAAAAAGGAAAAGAGGAAAAAATCAGCATGACTGATCAGTACATCCAAAAAGGCTGAAAGCATGTGCAATGTTCATCACTTGTGGACCTTTTTCCTCTGCAAAGGGGGTGAGGAGGAGAGTGGGGTGGGGAGGTCTTCTCAACACTCATCTTTAGAACTAGGCTTCATTTTGGTTCTGCGACATTCATTTTGAATTTTGTATGAGGGTGGTTGCTCTTTCCATTTACATGGCTGTTGTTGCTGAGTATATTATTTTCTTGGCTCTCCTTACTTTACTCTTCATCATTTCCATTTTTGTTTTGTTTGTTTTGGCTAGGCAATGGGGTTAAATGACTTGCCCAGGGTCACACAGCTAGTAAGTGTCAAGTATCTGAGTCTGGATTTGAACTCAGGTCCTCCTGACTCCAGGACCGGTGCTCTATCCACTGCACCGCCTAGCTGCCCCACTCTGCATCCTTTCCGAGAGATCTTTCCATGCTTCTCTGTACTTAACACACATATCATTTCTTACCCCACAGTAATATTCCATTACATATACATACCACAATTTGCTTAGCCATTCCTCAATTGATGGGTGGTAATTTTGTTTTGAATTCTTTGCTGTCACAAAAAGTGCTGTTATAAATATTTTGGTGTACAGGGGAACTTTTTTCTTCCCAGTGACCTCCTTGGGGTATAAATGCAGTAATGGAAACCCATTTTTTCACTTAAAGAGATGCTAACGACACAAAAAACTCCATTTCATGTGCATTGACAAAAACTTAAAACAACACATAATAGGGGCAGCTGGGTGGCACAGTAGATAGAGCACCAGCCCTAGAGTCAGGAGGACCTGAGTTCAAATGTGGATCCAGACACATTACACTCACTAGCTGTGTGACCCTGGGCAAGTCACAACCCCAATTGCCTAAAAACAAACAAACAAACAAAAAAACCACCCGAAAGAAACCCATAATAACCTAGATCTCCTATTATATCCTCCTAGGGGGGTGATATTCTTCCTGCTCTTGTCTGCCTCTTGGAATCTCTGCTTTCCCTTAAGATTCAGCTCAAGGGTCACCTCTCCCAGGAGGCCTTCCTTCATTCCCCCAAATGCTTCCCTTTGTCTTGCAGGAGTTGATATATATACATGTTGACTTCTCAATTAGAATATAAGCCCCTGGAGGGCAGAGACCATTATTGTCTTTTCTTTGTACCTCCAGCACCTAGATTGGGCTACACACAGAGTAAGAGCTTCATAAATGCTTTTTGATCAATTGATACTTAAAATCTTGAAACACGAGACACTTTAGGGAGACTGTTAAGTTAGTTGGAGTCTAGTCTGGGATAATCGTGTAATGAACCACGGTGTTCAAGAAGAGCCTGAGTCCCTGCCTTCCATTTTCAGAAGTCAGGCTCCCTTAGGAGTAGAACTAGGGTCACTTGGTGGGAAGAGGATGCCCCTGGCCAAGCCACAGGTAACACATGTATCTATCCTTTCCCCAGGGTATCTAGGACTACAAATAAATAATGAATCTCAGAATAGCTGAGAGCTAGAAGGAATCTCAGAGATCATCTAGTACAAGATGTACCTCTTCAAGCATCCCCTACTATGACACCTTGTCCTCCAGTCTTTGCTTAAAGACCTCCAGGAAGGGAGAGCACACCATCTGCAGAAGTGCCCATTCCACTCTGGGACAGCTCTCTGTGGTCAGGAAGCTTTCCCTGACATTAAACCTAAATTTTATTCTTTACGATGTCTGCTTTTTGCTCCTACGTCTGTCACCCAGTCTGAAAAAAATCTAATTTCTCTTCTATGTGTCAGCACAAAAGAGGAAAGATAATGTAGGCTGACAGGGCTAGACATTTTTTTTCCCGAAATTTTGACAATATACTCAGACTGCCGTCTATTTAATTGGCTCTTGGGTGGACTTAAGCACATTCGGCTGCTCTTTGGATGTTAGAAACGTTTTTCTCAGCCCTGGAAACAGCATCAAATAAGTCAAGGTTATGCTTCACTTTCCACAATGATGTGATCAAGTGGTTTTTCCTATACATGAGTCATTTCAGAATATGAACAGCCAGATTTGGAGTAATTAGGTGGAGTAGAGAGGATAGGGCCCTTGGGCCCCAAAAGCCCAAGTTCTGCCTGTCATTCCCAGCTAGGTAGGAGTTGGGCACATCGATTTCACTTCAGGCTGTGGAGGTGTTCAAGCCAGGGCTGGAAGGATGCTTGTTGAGAGGATG